ACGCCACATGTACACACATATTCCCAAGCGCTCCCATACACACATGCATACCCTAAACTTACACACACACACACACACACTCTCCCTAGTGTACCCATACACTCATACATAACACACACACACACACACACACACACACATTCCCTAGTGTACCTATACACTCATGCATAACTCTCACACACACACACACACACACACACAAACACACACACGTGTACCTATACACACATGGATAACCCACACACACACACACACACACACAAACACACACACGTGTACCTATACACACATGGATAACCCACACACACACACACACACACACAAACACACACACGTGTACCTATACACACATGGATAACCCACACACACACACACACACACACAAACACACACACGTGTACCTATACACACATGGATAACCCACACACACACACACACACACATTCCCTAGTGTACCTATACACTCATGGATAACACACACACACACACACACACACACACACATTCCCTAGTGTACCTATACACTCATGCATCACACAAACACACACACACACACACACACATTCCCTAGTGTACCTATACACTCATGCATCACACAAACACACACACACACACACACACATTCCCTAGTGTACCTACACACTCATGGATAACACACACACACACACATTCCCTAGTGTACCTATACACTCATGTATCACACACACACACACACACACACACACACACACACACACACACACACACACACACACACACAGAGCTTCCCGGCTGGTTTGCCAGGAAGATGCTCAAATCCTGGAAGCTGGGAGAAGCTCTGTGACTGTTTTCTTTAAATACAGGAATTCCTTCTGGATTGCATAAAAAGGATGTTGAAATACAGAGAACGGAGTCTCTGCAGATGCAGAGATCCTGTGGGAACACTCCCTCCCTAGTTGTTCAGGGGAGTGAGGACGGGCTAGTGAACGTAGACGTGGTCTCTTCGGCCAGTTCTATTTTTCTCTTCTTTTTGTTCTCATCCTTTCTTCTTGCTCAGTCTCTCTAGTCTTCGTCGCCTCCCCCCAACACTTGTCTTAAAGGGCAGGTTGAGGCAGTTACCCTGTTCCCTCTGGCTGGCCTGGAACTCACTATGCGGCCAGGCTGGCCCTTGAACGTACTAAGTAGCCAGGATTGTAGACATCCTCCTGACTCAGCTTCCTTTGTGCTGGGATTAGAAGCGCATGCCATTGGGCCAGCTTACCTTCACGCTAAGACTGTCTTTTTTTAAAATTCTGTCTTCTCTTACCTCTGTCTTCCCAGATCTCTCCCTCTTCCCTCTGGAGATCTGGCAGTCTCTCCTGGGTCCTTCTGTCTTTTAAAGGATGTCTCTTAGCCTTTGGTTCCAAGTGTATCTATCTCTCTCTTACGCGCCCTACTCTCGTGGTCCCTTCTCTCAGCTCGGTGTCCGGGTTGAGGGAGACGCTGTTGGCCGA